AGTCATAAGTCAGAAATTCAGAGAAATGTTAAATAAGACACTGCATACCATATGACCCAACAATTCCACTCCTAGATACCTACCCAAGAGAATGGAAAACATATGTGCACACCAAAACTTGTACACATACATTCACAGCAGCATTATCCACAGCAGCTAATATGTGGAAATAAACCAAATGTCCACTAATGGATGAATGGATAAACAAAATGTGGTCTATTCATAAAATAGAGTATCATTCAGCCATAAAAAAGAACAAAGCACATGCTACAATATACATGAAACTTGAAAACAGGGTAAGTGCAAGAAGTCAAACAAAAAGGTCATACATAATATATGACTCCTTTTATATGAAATGTTCAAAATAGGCAAATCCATAAAGACAGAAAGTAGGTTAATGGTTGCGAGGGACTGGGGTGACGGGGGAATGAAGATGAGGCTTTCTTTTCAGCTAATGAGTTTAGACCTTCTTTTGGGGTAAATATTTTGGTAATAAAAATATTCTAAAATTATATAATGGTGATGGCTACACAACTTTGTAAATATACTAAAAACCACATAACCATACAATTTAAAAGGCTGAATTTTATGGTATGTGAATTATATTCTCAGTAAAGCTGTTACAAAAGAAAAAAACTGACATCTAAGAGAAAGTATGAATCTGATTAAATATAAATTGAAAATAAGCAATTAAATGACTATATGCCAATATCCTACTAATAAATTATATAGTATAGGACAAGAAGTATGTCCACTATTATGTTACAATCCATCAAAAAAAATCCTTCCTATATTGTATAGTAGACACCAGCTCAAAACAATGGGCAAATAAAATCAGATACGTCTTTTGTCTGTCATATCCTACCTTTAATAAGCAAGATTTATTCCCTCTCCCATTATATAAAATGTCAAACTAATCATTTCTATTCTGTTAACATCACAGAGTTTTTATCAGGACCAAATGGGATAAGGTAGTATATTATTAATGGGAAACTCCATTAGAACAGTACTCATTAGGGAGGAGGAATGACTTATCTACTGGGGAACTGAAAAAGCAGGGATTGGACATGATTAGCCCAGCCTTTTTGCCCTACCATCTTCTGTATTTGCCTATCAGCACAAAGCATACATTAGACTGTTCTTTGCCAGGTGGTAAGAGGCCTGCAATTGTGTAAAGCCTGCTTTGTGTGGACTGGTATCTCATTCCATACTGAAGAAGCCAGTGTTATTCTCTAATAGTTTTATCAGTAGTAAAGTTGATATCTTCATCTCAATTTTTCAGACTCTTAAGTGTCTAATTCCAAGAAGAATATTATTTGATCTCAACATACATGGAAGTACTTTCTAAACCTTAGAAACATAAAGATAACAACATAAGAAACATAAAGAAACAACATAAAGATAAGGTACTACTATGAAAAGTAATATCAAAGTTAATACCTCTTCCTGTTTATCTAGTCTAACGCTTAAGCAAAAACCACTAAAAAGTAATTTTAGAAAACTTAAAATCATTCATTTTGTTGCCAGTTAAACAAAGCAAAATTAACTAACCAACTACAGACCTCTGACAAGTATATGTGCTGAAAATCTATGACGATCAACTGAAATTATATTAACATTTTCAACACAGAATGATGGGTTTTTAAAAAATTAAATCATTAACTCATTAGGAATATGCAGATCGAGAGTCTTGTATTCTTCCCCAAATGATTAAATCTAATTGAATATTCATAGAAATTACTATTAATGTTTTAAGAAAAAACTAATTTTACATGAAATTCTATGAAAATAATAAAAATAAATATGAGAAATCTTTATTATGTAAACTTATTTGTATATTAATTATTCCAACACTTTCTCTTCTAAAAGAGGCACAGGAACCATCACTGCAAAGGTATTTTTTCTTTTTTTTTTTTTTTTGAGACAGAGTCTCACTTTGTTGTCCAGGCTAGAGTGAGTGCCGTGGCGTCAGCCTAGCTCACAGCAACCTCAAACTCCTGGGCTCGAATGATCCTCCTGCCTCAGCCTCCCGAGTAGCTGGGACTACAGGCATGTGCCACTATGCCCGGCGAATTTTTTTTTATATATATATATCAGTTGGCCAATTAATTTCTTTCTGTTTATAGTAGAGACGGGGTCTCACTCTTGCTCAGGCTGGTTTTGAACTCTTGACCTTGAGCAATCCACCCGCCTCGGCCTCCCAAGAGCTAAGATTACAGGCGTGAGCCACAGCGCCCGGCCGTATCTTTTCTTTTAAAGGAGGTACTGCCCACGTTTATCTAAGTTTCTCTAAGCAGCTGGGAAAGATTAGTTAAGAAATTAATTAATTAATTAAAGTAATAAAAAATTAATTAAAGGAATAAAAGATATATCCTACATCTTCATAATAAACAGCATCTTGAAAAGGAAATAAAAGGGACAACATATTCAGTAAAATCCCCTCATATAAATTAAAATCTACTTTCTAAATTAATAAAAAGTCTAAATTACAGAACATAAATCTCCTAGGTAGAGGAAACAGTTGTCTAAACAATAGTTTCACATTGTAACCATAGTTCTAATCACTGACAGGCCAGGACAAGGATGAAGTGGATTGTTCAAACTTCGTTTCAAAACTAATTTAAGTGATTGTGGTGGCAATATAGCATAGTAGCTATAAGTAGAGGCTTTGTTTGAATCTTGGTTTTGCTATTTACTACCTATCTGATCTTGAGGAAATTATTTATAATCTGAGTCTCAGTTTCATCAACTGTGGAATGGAATCTATATAAGGTGATGACTAAATGATACAACGCTTATAAAGTAGTTAATACAATCCAAGGAACATAGCCAGAGTTCAAAACTTGCTAGCTTTTATTGTTTGCTAAATATACCTTCCACTGCACATTGCTGCTTCTTAGGGCTATCATATTCATCATATATCATATCCACCCCAGAAACAGCTTCCTAAAGAGATATACTCATCTGCAATACAGACACATACTATCATTAATGGTGATAATGAACAAATGATGATAATTGCAGATGACAATTTTCAGAAAATCACATTTCTACTTCTGTATTTTCTACCATGTTTAGCTGGATATATTCATACTTTATCAATACCTTAATAAAATAGCAGAGGAGGAAATAAATGAACAAATTAATGAAGGAAGGAGCAAACAAAAAAAGTGGGCAACCATTTCCCAGTCCCTTCTAAAGCAATATGATCTGAACCATTTTCCAGTCCCTGCTAAAATACTTTCTGGCTCTGGCCTTCAGAGAGTGGCTATGGTCATGCTCAGGTATTAGATCACATAAAAGAAGAACCACCTATGCCTGACAAAATTAGAACTCCATCCTAATAATATTCAAGTTGGAGCATATTATTAAAAAATTAAGAAATTGTGCACCCTAATTAGAAAAGCTTTGTAATTCAATAAACCATCTACAGATTATTCATTCTGTCCCTATCTGAAGGTGAAAGAATGAACATGGAATTTACAAACTTTAAAAACAGTCTATTTGTAAGTAAATATTACCTAGAAAATTCTCTAAGGAAATACTAGTATAAAAACAAATTTTTCATAATAATGAAAAATAGAAAAATCCACATAAGCTCTCTTGAGATCGGAAAGACATTTCTAGTACTTTCCTTTTAAAATTGGAATGCTTGCTAAGCTAATGTTTAGCTATAAAAATTCATGATATGTACACATCAGTCCCCTAGTTAAAAAATTAAAAAAAATAAAAAAATAAAAAAATTATAAAAAATAAAAAAAATAAAAAAGAAAATATATAAGAACAGACTTCCTAACTAAAAGAAAATAAACAAAAAAAGAGAATTTATAATAATCTTTAAAAATTTTTTTAAAATAAAAAAATAAATAAAAATAAAAATTCATGATATGAATTAAAAGGGAAAAAATGATTTACAAAGGATGAACAATTTAACAAAACTAAGCTACTACAATTAAATAACAAAGGCTCTGTAACTATCTGAAGAATAGCAAGATCATAATAGCCTCAGCAACTAAAGAGGAAATTCAACTGAATGGAACAATTCTTTTTTTTTTTTTATTTTGGCATATTATGGGGGTACAGATTTTAAGGTTTCAATAAATGCCCTTTCCCCCCTTCCCCCCACAAGTCTGAGTCTCTGGCATGACCATCCCCCAGATGGTGCACATCTCACTCATTATGTATGTATATACCCGCCCCCCTCCCCCCTCCCACTTGCCCAATACTCTATTACTATAGTACCTATGTGTCCACTTAGGTGGTGCTCAGTTAATACCAGTTTGCTGGTCAGTATATGTGGTGCTTGTTTTTCAATTCTTGGGATACTTCACTTTGGAACAATTCTTTTTTAAATTCAGGTATAGATTGTAAAGAAGCAATGCCAAAGAAAATAATTCATAATAAAAATCTTCAGAGATGTAATAAAGGGAAAATTTTGCCTTTTTATTACTTGTAATAATAATCATTAGTAACTATAGTTACAGTGAGTCACATATGACAACACAATTGAATTTAAACACAAATGCATGAGTGCACATGTCATTTTCTTTCTATTCCAAGGCAAACGGTAAGAATTTCATTTCCCACTTTCCAACTATACTATAATACATAATTTATAATCAAAACTTCCAACATGCTGTTCTTTGCAAAGTTCTGCTTACCTTCCTCTTATGTTCTAACACAAAACAGAGTTAGGATCATAGCTATTTACCATCACAGTGACGATGCTTGGAAAATCCTTTGGCTTTGCAATTTACTTCACTTTTTAAATCAGTATATGATGATAAGAGGAAACTACAGAATGCTACACACCTTTGAATTTTATCCCAATTACTCACCTTTAGCTTTACTCTAGAAAGTGTGACTACTGCTTTGAAAATATTTCAAATTTTGCATGATCACAAGCTGCAGTATGTGAAACATCTAGTCTGAGAGATTAGTAGAAAATGAAAAAAAAAACAAAACTCCATAATTTAGTATCTCCATATTTTCTTACTTACTACACAAAATTGGAGAAGAGGGTGTTTGCAGTGTCAAAGTGGAGCCATCTTTCCTCATGATATTAACTCGGAAAACCAATCTGGCACGAGTGCTTTTTTTCTTGGAACCAGCAATTCCTATTCTGGCTTCCACATCAGCATTCCTCAGTTTTAATATCCCTACGCAGTCCACCCTAACACAGAAAAAAATATACAAAGTAACATTTTGTTGTATAAATAGCACAATGTTCTTTATCAACAAGTTTCTCTTTTTAAAAAAAATTTGCTTATTTGAATATGTAATGCAGTCATAAAGTTCCAAATTCAAAAAGGTACAAAAGGGTAAACTAAATATTCATTGTTCCTAATGTTGTCACGCCTTTTGTTTATAATAATAACAAAAAAATAGTAAAAATAAAAATCACTATTTTAAAATCTGAACATAAGTATGGCTTCAAGAGACTTTTTCTAGTTTTTTTAAGAATAAATTTAGCCTCTTTCTTTTTATAGCTAATTTAGATAATAGAGGGAATAAATTGTACTTTTAAAAAAATTAGTAATTGTCCCCAAAAGGATGGAACAGTATACAGCCATTAAAAAGTATATTGTAACATTTACAATATGACATGGGAACATGCTCATGGCATGTTAAGTAAAAAGCAGATTACAAAACAATGGATACAGTATTTTCTCAATTTTGCCCAAAAAAGGCTGAGAAGATAAACATAGAAATGGTTATTTCTGGGAAGTTGGTTCTTAAAAGGCATGTTTTTAGCTTTTTTTTACTCTGTTTTCAACTTTTTAAATGATAAATAAGTACCGTTTTAAAAATCAGTAGAGCTCTTCCTTTCCTCCCTCATTATATACATTTATTTTAATAATTTTTAAAAGTTACGAGATAAAAAAATAAATCTTTACTAAATATTTCTCAAAATTCCCCTTTTCTAATTAACCTTTTACCAATCTATTCCAAATGGCTTTCAAAAGAAAACTGAAAACTGAGTAAAGTCTTTAGCAGCTATCCAATATACAAATAATTATAACATAGGTCTACCCTATAGCACTCTATATGTCCTGCTGTTACGGTCAATTTTACAAATAAAGGCCCTTCACAAAAAAGTTAAGGAAAAATAATTTTAAAAAATTAAATCATTAACACTTCGAATATTTTTCAAGCAGTGAAATATATAAGATAAATAATACACAATCTAAAGATATTAATTATTTTAAATACAGGAAAATAAAAACAGAAGATGGATTTAGACCAGTAATATGCTTTTCACATCAGGATGGGGCAAGGCACTTCAAGTTGCTGTTGAAAAATTTCTAAAGAACATTACTAAATTGGAATTTAGGAATACAAATCAAACTATAATTTCAATTTCAATGTTAATATTGTAAATCCCAATAAGTCAGTCTTTATAATTTTCCTAAAAGCCAGCATTCCACCTGGCTTTCATTTCTCTGCCTTTCACCATGGAAATTTTTTAGCAAAGGATAAGAGTTAATTTTAAATCATTACAATTCTGTGCTAATGTCTTTTTTTTTATTTATAATATTTAAAACATTTTAATAAAATATTTAAAATCTTTTATGCACTAGAAACCAAAAAATCTTCCTGCCCACCACAAGAGTGTAGTATATAATAATGAAAAATTCTTCTAAGTACTTACGCCAGTGTCATGTTGTTGCTAGGATCAAGGCCAACTTCGATAACAGTGGTGCCTTCAATGTCTACTTCTTTGCAAGGAGTTGTATTTCGTCCAGTTACTCTGCAGGCCTGATAAAATCCATGTGGTTTTACTCGACCAGAGTCATTGCCCACAAACACTTGCAATACTACTGGTTCATTATGGCCTTCCAGCTGAAACCAGAAAACATGCAGCAGAAATACTAATTAGCATTTCAAATAATCTAACTGTAAAATCAAATATTTAAGACCAAATCTTGTATTTTTTACTGTATTACATTTTTAAAAAGTTAAATCTTCAAGAAAAATAGAGGTAAAACATTTTCATAAAGGAGAATTGGCTAAGTTCCTACAGAAAACCTTAGTTTTAATTCTGTAATAACCACACTTTAATTAAAAATGTATATGTTAGATGATAAATTATCATTTATAATTTATTTGTATAAGCAAATGAGAATGAATATACAGTCGCTTAGGCAGCATGTGAGTTATTCAAAACCTACCACCATAACTCATGGAAAAATTCACAAAACTGTGTTAGTAGTATCATCTTCAAATGAGATCATGCTATATATTACACTAAATGTTCTACTTGAGTAGAAAAGTGTCTGAAGCGCAGCTGTATGAATAGTAGGGAAATAAAGCTCATTTTCATAGACTAGATGCACACACACAGCATCATGAAATCCCAGGCCAAAACATTACTGTATGAAAACTACTGGTTCAAACCAAGATCTATGGATAATTACAGGACTTTAGCAAGCCTTCATAAATTAAATTATAATTTGTATGCTGAAAATAAATAAATATTTAAACAGTATTTGGGAACAAATTTTTCTAATTCTGATTCTTGATGAGGTTTATAGTTAAACATTGAAGCTACTAATAGAAAATGCAGAAAATCACAAGATAAATTATACAATGTATATTAAAGTGTTTAAAAAAACTCACATCTTTTCTATCCCAGTATGGTTATATCTCTGTGAAATGATAACATAATGAGCCAAATAAGCAAGCAAATAAACAAACTAGTCAAATTGTTGGTCAGCAGTACCTAGAACAGTGCCGGAACATGGAAGGATGCAATATTTGTTGAATGAATAAATAAACTTTTATGGTCAGTCAATTTATTCCATATCATAGTCAGACAATTAATATAACAGTACTTGTAATTAGATAAGTACTTAGACAAAAGCATAAATTAAAGTCAGGGCAATTAGGTTAAAAATATTGACTTTATCAAAATGTCTGGCTAGACATATGTACATAAAGCATAACTTAAATTTCTCACTTGTTTATTACTTGTCCTGGGTTTGAGGGAATGGGGGTGGGCTGGGGTAGTGGGTAGTAAAGAGGGGTAGAAATGATATTGTACATGTGAGTATTATGACTGTTACTCAACCTTAAAAATGATCACAAGCAAGTTTCCGGATTCTGAGTTGCCACCATAATTTCATTCAAGTATAAAATGAAAGGCAGTCCAACTGTACTCTAATATTGAATTACTGTACTCCAATCTTGAAATATTGTTCAACTAACATGTTTACACACACTATATTTAATAAGAATCTACCATATGACTAGCCAAAATTCCTCCCTGTTTAGTGTTTTGCAGGGGGTAGGGATACTTGTTAAACATCCCCCATCCCAATTTTTTTTGGTTTGTATTCAAAAAGAAATAGTCTTTATAACAAAATATACCAGGTGCTGAAATTTAAGCCCCCCCACCCTTTTTTTTGAGACAGAGTCTCGCTTTGTTGCCCAGGCTAGATAGAGTGAGTGCTGGGGCATCAGCCTAGCTTACAGCAACCTCAAACTCCTGGGCTCAAGCGATCCTACTGCCTCAGCCTCCCGACTAGCTGGGACTAGAGGCATGCACCACCATGCCCGGATGAATTTTTCTATATATATTAGTTGTCCAATTAATTTCTTTCTATTTATAGTAGAGATGGGGGTCTCGCTCTTGCTCAGGCTGGTTTTGAACTCCTGACGTCAAGCAATCTGCCCGCCTTGGCCTCCCATAGTGCTAGGATTACAGGCGTGAGCCACTGCACCTGGCCTTAAACCCCATTTTTACTTTTAGTTTGAGTTCTGAAAAGATTAAGACTCAAATGATATCCTATTTCATAAACTGAAGACTTAAGTATCAATCAATTCTTTTCTAAGAGTACTGATTAACCATCTCAAAAACCTTATTTTCAAAGTCCTTAATAATTTCTACTATATTTCTTGAATTTACTTTAAAATTTCTTCTTAAAGTTTGAGATGAATCTAATTCAAATATCAAAAATGGGCTAAGAAAATCCATAACTTGCAGATATTTTACTTTTCAGAACATATTCTCATCTCCCCTTTCATTTAAACTAAAATTTAAATGACATGAAAGTAACAGTATTTGCCTTATGGTCCAGTCAGACTTTTACTATCTTTTCTATTGTATATAGTTAGTAATTCTACCCTTCTGTTTTAGCATCTTTTCTGATTAAAAACAAAATAAGTAAAATTAGAGAAAATTCTTTATGTATTACCAAATAATTACCTTTACTGTAGGAAAGCCTTGCTGTGTTCTATCTTTTACTGAGCCACGGCTGCCCTCAGTCAGGTACCGAGCTCGGTGCTGGGTCTCAGGTTGTACAACTATCTTCAGCTCCTTTCCCTCACTTTTTACAGGATATTGTCCACACAACATAGGGCTCTTCTTTACTCCAGTTCCTTTTTGGTTTTCCAATGTTCTGAGAAATCAAAGCACAACATGGAGAAAGTATCAAAAAGAGTTTTCTACAAAAGCTATCTAAGATAAAGGAAGAAATAGAATAGGCAATAACATTAATAAACAACTGCTTAGCTTACTAGCAAAATAAAATACTGCCTAAAGGAAGATACATTCCATAAACAAAATACCTTCAAAAGTTTTGTAACAAAGTTTAACTCTATGATGCAAAAATAAAAGAAAGTTGGACAGGAGAGGGAAAGAATGCATATGAGTGGTAAGAGGACGGGAGGAAGATTAAGTGCAATAAATTGAGAATAACAGGAAAGAATAATTAATGTCACTATAACCTTTCACATTGCACTTCAGTCAAAATAAAATTTTAAAATTACATCTATTATGTGAGTCTTATATAAAGCTATAAGATTAACTACTACTATTTTCTAATCAGATTTGCAAAACAAGGGAAAAAAAGTGGGGAGAGCAAATCACCCCCAGGCCTAAATAAAACAAATGACAGTGTATGTAGCATATTGTTTTGGGTATCTTTCTCAGTAAATCAAATTGGAAAAAATTATAAGAAAAGATCAGTGATTCCATTTTTATTGGGAAATTAGCTTTATTCTAAACAATCATTCTCAGAAGAAGTATGATTTTTAGAGAATTTTTATTTGTGATTACTTTAAAAAATTAAAGCCCTCAATAAAATTTTTGTAATCTAGGCTTCAGAGCACCAGCAACCTAACTTATTTTTTTAAGTTGTGTTTCTAACATTTATTTATTTATAATGCATTTGCTATGTGCAATGTATGTTCATAGGGAAACAATATCCCAAATGGTGGTTAGGACTTCAGGCTAGCACATTTAATCTGTAAAATAGCTGAAGCACTGCAAATATGTAATAAAAATAAGTAGAAAACAACACTGTTTTCTTTTGAGCAACATGGAACAGATTTAAAATTATTCATGTACATTTTGAAATAGTGTCACGGCCTACAGTGTCTTCTCTGTGACTTTCCTAGTTCTAAATTTTGACTCACACCAAAGATCCAGGAATAAGATGACTGTGCACAGAATCTCCTTCAAAAGCAACCAGGTCCCAGGTGGAACAGTACTGACTTCAAACACAGAGGAGCTAAGCAGCCTTAAACCTGGCTCTAATGTTTACTCCTCCAGCTGTAACCAAATTGTTGTTTCAGTCATAAAAAAAGAGAGAGAAAGAGAGAGAGAGAGCATGCAAAGGCAGGACTCTCAATGGAAGTAGGGACTGGGATCAAATCAACCCCATGGTCAGGAAAGGGGCAGAAAGAGTGGAACTGGCATAGCAATGCAGTAAAACTGACTGGGTAAGAGTAAAGTTCTCAGGGCAAGTACTGTGATTCATCGTTTTCATATTCCCTGAACCTGTGCAGTTCCTGAAACGTAACAGGTGCCGAAGAAATGTTTATAGATGAAGGCAATGAAAAGAAGGGATAAAGAAAGGAAAAGAGAGGTAAAAAAAAAAAAAAAAAGCTTCTAAAATAGTGGCATGAGAAAGATCCTAATGGACAAGGAATGCCATTCATGTAAGTTCGACATAACGAAGTCAAAGATTACCTGTGTAAGTCATTTAAAAGGCCCTGGAAGAATAAATTCTATGAACAAAAGTATCACGTTGATGCTGGAACAATGGGCAATAAACCCTGTTTTTCTTTTCATGATTCTGGGTAGAAATTCAAACATTTGATCTGAATATCTGAATAGTGTGCAGTTCCTCACACATGAAATTCTATAATGATATTCTGTTTTATACTCATCTTAAAATCAAAGCAAAAATATTCATTTATAGACTATGTAAAAACATTCCCCAAATACAAAGAGACTAAAAGAAAATACAATTAACGGATCAACACCTAAGTGGACATATAGAAATAACATTTATCGGGTGTCGGGAGGGTGGGAGGGGAGAGGAGGAGAGGGGTATATACATAAACCACAACGAGTAAGATATGCAACGTTTGGGGGATGGACATGCTTGAAGCTCTTACTCGAGGGGGGAGGGGGGCATGGGCAATATAAGTAACCTTAATACTTGTACCCCCATAATACGCTAAAATACAAAAAAATAAAAGAAAATACAGTAAAATGGTAATAGCAGTTGTACTGAGTAATATTATGGGTTATTTTGTTGTATTTTTCAAATATTTATAATTCATATCTATTAATTTTATAAACTTTAGTTTGAAATATAACAAAAATTCGTATAGCATATCAATTAACTTGATGAAATATGTTTTTATGTTCACTTATGCTAGTCGAGCTAATATTGATAAGGGTAAAAATAAATGAAAATGAGTTTTACTAGTCCAGTAAAACAAAATATCTCACTTTGGATGAAGAGCTGTTGAGTGAGTTGATAAAGTATACATATTACAGCTTAAAAAAAATAGTATGTGTAATAAAACAATTACTAAAATGATACTTTAAAAAGTCCTTCAAACTATTTTTATTCTCTAAGTTTAAATGTAAAAATGGAATACATATGTATTTAGATCTATAGAAATGTAAAACCATAAACTAATTCTTACAAAAGTAGTCATTCAAATCATAAATGTTTAAGGCATGATGGCTTAATAAAAAAAACAGACAGTAGTAGTTAGTTATAGGGGATTTTGTTTATAAATGACAATGAAAAGGTGAAATCTATTGTCATAGCATAGTCTATTCAAAAGTTTTAAAATAAAATTCTAATTTCTTTGTGCTGCACATTCCTTCTAATCCTCTGGTTGCCTATGTCACAAAAATAATTTTCACTACAAAATGCCTAAAATAGGTTTCACATCCAGATGACATCATGTCTTAACTTATAGTAACTTAATTTAACTTGGGGTAACTGATCCTCAGGTTATTTAGTTGAAGAATTTAAGAATGATGTGGCTAGGGATATTTAAATACTAAGTTTTTTTAAAAAAATTAAAAAATAAATTCTAAAATTTTAGTTATATAAAAATGGTATTTTCATGCCAGACGCGGAGGCTCACGCCTATAATCCTAGCACTCTGGGAGGCCGAGGTGGGAGAATGGCTCAAGCTCAGGAGTTCAAAACCAGACTGAGCAAGAGCAAGACCCCATCTCCACTAAAAATAGAAAGAATTTAATTGGCCAACTAAAAATATATAGAAAAAATTAGCTGGGCATGGCAGCACATGCCTATAGTCCCAGCTACTTGGGATGCTGAGGCAAAAGGATTGCTTAAGCCCTGGAGTTTGAGGTTGCTGTGAGCTAGGCTGATGCCATAGCATTCTAGCCTGGGAAACAGAGTGAGACTCTGTCTCAAAAAAAAAAAAAAAAAAAAAATAGGTATTTTCATCCATAGGCTATCAATATTTCTATGTGGTATCTTGAAGATCAATAAACTGCTATACACATATTTGAAAGTACATTTAAAAAATACTCAGCATTACATAAATTAACAATTTATAGCACATTAAATCTAAGGCTATATATCTTAATTCTCAAAACATTTTAAAATTTCTTTCATGTTTCTGACATCTTTCTCATTGTTGAAGAACATAGGCTTTTAGCTTGAGATGCTCTGAAAAATTGTTTTTAAGGCCTAGTTTTCTATATCTTTACATGTAGTTTCATCCCTTCCTCAGTATAATTTTTATAAATTCAATTTTAAACTACTTCTATCATTTCCATATACTAGTGTCAAATATTTTTTCATTACCTAAGAAGCTGCATATTTCCTCTGCTGGTTAATAGAGTTTCTGCTCCATGAATTATTTCATGAAAGATTTTGTTTCGACCAATGTCATTATACTTTCCCTAGGTAACCTCAATTCATTTCTAAGATGCATCTATCTACAAAAGTAGAAGTAGAAAAGATGTAGTGAAGATATCTCTTTAATTAGCCACTGCAAATCACTGTATTGATGATCCCTTAAGTCAAAATATTATTTGTTCTTAATTTGAAACTTCAACATCTATTTCAATACAAAGACGAAAATCTCTCTTCTAGAACTTTATAAAAGACTTTCTCCATTGAAGCCCAAATAAACATATACGTATATTTAACGATATTCATGAACCTTTTAGGTCTGTGCTACTAGTCACAATTAATTATTTACCTCTGGTTTTTATTATGCTTTATACGTAATAGTTCTACAAATATTATGTTCTGGAATCCTTGACTTTGTAAAATGGCAACATTTTAGGAAACGGTATAATTTGTTTTCTTCTAGGTAATTACAGCTGAAGCACTGCAAATATGTATTAAAAATAAGTAGAAAACAACACTGTTTTCTTTTGAGCAACATGGAACAGATTTAAAATTATTCATGTACATTTTGAAATAGTGTCACGGCCTACAGTGTCTTCTCTGTGACTTTCCTAGTTCTAAATTTTGACTCACACCAAAGATCCAGGAATAAGATGACTGTGCACAGAATCTCCTTCAAAAGCAACCAGGTCCCAGGTGGAACAGTACTGACTTCAAACACAGAGGAGCTAAGCAGCCTTAAACCTGGCTCTAATGTTTACTCCTCCAGCTGTAACCAAATTGTTGTTTCAGTCATAAAAAAAGAGAGAGAAAGAGAGAGAGAGAGCATGCAAAGGCAGGACTCTCAATGGAAGTAGGGACTGGGATCAAATCAACCCCATGGTCAGGAAAGGGGCAGAAAGAGTGGAACTGGCATAGCAATGCAGTAAAACTGACTGGGTAAGAGTAAAGTTCTCAGGGCAAGTACTGTGATTCATCGTTTTCATATTCCCTGAACCTGTGCAGTTCCTGAAACGTAACAGGTGCCGAAGAAATGTTTATAGATGAAGGCAATGAAAAGAAGGGATAAAGAAAGGAAAAGAGAGGTAAAAAAAAAAAAAAAAAGCTTCTAAAATAGTGGCATGAGAAAGATCCTAATGGACAAGGAATGCCATTCATGTAAGTTCGACATAACGAAGTCAAAGATTACCTGTGTAAGTCATTTAAAAGGCCCTGGAAGAATAAATTCTATGAACAAAAGTATCACGTTGATGCTGGAA